TTAAGTCTGTTATTTCAGATATAGAATGTGTATGTCCAACGTCACTTTTCCTGTTTAAGGTTTCTTGTAAGTTTGTAATATCAGATATAGAATGTGTATGAGTCTTTTTAGAATATTCGTTTTCAGCTCTTTCTTCTTCTTTTGCTATTGCATCGTCTACATATTCTTTGTCAGCTTTGTTGTCAACATCTGCTTTCAAAAGAAGTTCATTTATAGGTTTCTCGTTTAAAGTTCCTTTTGTTGGATTTATACAGACAGTATGGTTCTTATTGTCTTGAAACAGAAACTCATCTGTCATTGGGTTTAATGTCAGTTTTAAGTTTCCTTCTTTCAATGACTCAGATATCTTAGAATAGTTTGAAAAGTTTGTTGTGTTCTTATTTAGAGCTTGCATAATGAGTTGTCGGTTGTGTTGTATTTCTCTCATAGACGCTGTTTCATTTGACATTTTTATTCTAGATAAAATATGCTTTCAATAGAAAAAGAAAATTCAAGAGTTGCTACAACTAAACCATTAGATGAACTTTTTACTAATGTCGGTCAAAAGTTTGAGACAGATACTATAAAGCATGAAGGCTATCGTTTTGACTACCCATTAAGATGGTTAAGAGACCCATCCGTCACAAAAGCTATTGGCTTTCGTAGAATAAAATTTGTGTCTGTAGAAGATAAAAGTTTTCCATTTATTGTAAGGTTTCATATAGATTATATATCTGAAGGGAAACGAAAAATGTGGGAAGAAATTGAGCTAATACAAGTTGACCTTTCATCTTCTCTACAGACTGCGTTAAAAAATATAGAAGATAAAATAAATTCATGTTATGCAAAATATGCTGATGAATATGCAAATACCGAGAGCACACTTTATGTGAGAATTGTATATGACAAACAAAATTCACAAGTGTCATTTCAAATCTACGAAAACAATCCAAATAAAGACGAACAAATATATACAGAATTCTCTGCAATGTCATGGTATTATTTGCAAAGAATGTTAAATCAGAAAGTCGAACTTCCTTTAGCAAATATTTACAGTCGATATGCAAGAGATGAACCATATTTATTTAAAGATGTTTTCGACCAAGATGCTGTGATAGTTCATGCTTCATTTTCTGGCGCCCAAAACTCTTTCTTATGCTTGGCAAATGACTTTTACGAAAAACCTACAAAGTTATATGAACCACCAAGTGGAAGTATTTCAGACTTTCAAGTATGGTTTACTACAGATGGAAGAAAAAGAATAATTCCATTATACCATGTGTTTTACTTAGAACTTAGTTTCATATACAACTACTATCGAACGGTAAAAATATAATTTTTTAATACGGTTGAGGTGTTGGATTTGGTTGCCAACTAGACTGTGGTGCAGGTTCAGGCTGTTGTATAACAGGAGCTTGTTCTTCTGGTTCAGGGTCTTTAGGTATAATACCAACGAACTGACCTACTCTTTTACCAATATTTTTGACTCCGTTCCAAATTCCTCTTCCTACGGTTTTTATTCCATTCCATACCTCTTCCAACATTTCGAAAGAAGTTTCCAATACTACTGAAGAAACCCATTTTACTATATGTAAAAATCTAATGTCCGCCTAGTCTCTTACGTTTCCTGTTGAGTTCCATAGCATTCTTTAACTGGAGCTCATACATTCTATTTCTCCTCTGTAGAAAATATTCCGGGTCAACTCCTGTGTTCGCGTCATCTGCATAGAGTTGTTTATATCCCACTTCAGGGTTTGTATAAAACTCTTTCCATCTCATATTTGCATACCATGGTGGCAAACCTAACGCAGCGTCATTTGACATGGCAGTTTGCATTTGTACATCTGTTGGCACTTGACCATAGTTTGCCATTGCAGTTTGTATTCTAACTTCATTTGGAATATTCTCTGGTTTGGTTGTCCAGGTTGCTGTGCATTCGCTAAGTTCTGTGCGTCCATTTAATATTAGATAAAAATATCTCTTACGAGTACATATACTGAACATTTGCAGGCATTGGTTCATCTTCATATTCTCTGTACTTTTCTGCCACGTCAAATAAATAAATGACACAATGGAAAAAACCTAAAACAAGTAGTCCTATTTCAAACCACATTTACTTACTAATAAAATTTCTTTATTGTGACACTTTCTCCAGTTTATAGGACCTCTCTCATATTCTATCTTGTCATATATAAACTCATAGTCATGTATGTCCTCTAACCATCTCATAACGGTTTCCAAACCACTTTTATCGGATGTAAAGTAAAAGCATGGATGGTTATGTAAAACGTCTAAAGTTTCTAAAGAGTCTCTCAAAGTCCAGTCTACTTGGTATTGAAAATCCCATGTGTTAAAGAACGGCGGGTCCACTATAAAGAAAACATTTTCCTTGTCTTTATATTTTTCATACAAATCTGTCCAATGACATCTCACAAACTCTATACCCTCAATATATTTTTCTATGTCCTCTTTGAAAACATTTGTATAGTTAAGATATAAAACTTTTGACATAAGTGTTTCAATGTCATGAACTCTTATAGCACCACTATATAATAGTCTAGAAGATATACTATCCCAGTCTATATATTCTGCTTTTTTCAAAACCTCTCTCACAATATTTTTCTTATCTAATGGTATACGTTCCATCTTACCTATAGGTATCTTTTCTTTTTAACTCTTTCAATATATTGTTTGTGTCTGGTATATGTTTGAGACGGTCCATATAGTTGTCGAAGTCATTGCATATAATCTTTGAGTCTGGGAATATTGTATGGCACAAATGGGATATATAGAAACTTCCACCGAACAAATCTACAAATGTTAGACCATTCGGTAGTTTCTTAAGTTCTCTCAATATAATGTTATATACGAAAACGATAAAAACGGTTTGACAGAAAAGTGACAACTTTACGTGTCAAAAATATAAAAAGTGATATTTTATTCATCATTATCTTCTTCATAATTTATTTCATATTCTTCGTCTTACCAACAAAAGATGGGAATGTGAAACAATTGCGGGCAATTTTTAGCCATTTTGGCTTGGAACTAGAGCCTGCGAGGTACATGGATAGTATCAGTACCTCACAGGCTCTAGTTCTCTATTGGCGCCGAGAAATTTTGGTGAAATGTGGTCGCATTTCACCAAAATTTTTTCGGCGCCATAGGATGAATTGGAGGGTGAGAGATATTATTTCATACAATACTACTCTCACCCTCCAAATTTCCCAGCCAAAATGGCTAAAAATTGCCCGCAATGTGAACAATTGCGGGCAATTTTTAGCCATTTGGGCTTGGAACTAGAGCCTGCGAGGTACATGGATAGTATCAGTACCTCACAGGCTCTAGTTCTCTATATGGCGCCGAGAAATTTTGGTGAAATGTGGTCGCATTTCACCAAAATTTTTTCGGCGCCATAGGATGAATTGGAGGGTGAGAGATATTATTTCATACAATACTACTCTCACCCTCCAATTCCCAGCCAAAATGGCTAAAAATTGCCCGCAATGTGAACAATTGCGGGCAATTTTTAGCCATTTGGGCTTGGAACTAGAGCCTGCGAGGTACATGGATAGTATCAGTACCTCACAGGCTCTAGTTCTCTATATGGCGCCGAGAAATTTTGGTGAAATGTGGTCGCATTTCACCAAAATTTTTTCGGCGCCATAGGATGAATTGGAGGGTGAGAGATATTATTTCATACAATACTACTCTCACCCTCCAATTCCCAGCCAAAATGGCTAAAAATTGCCCGCAATGTGAACAATTGCGGGCAATTTTTAGCCATTTGGGCTTGGAACTAGAGCCTGCGAGGTACATGGATAGTATCAGTACCTCACAGGCTCTAGTTCTCTATATGGCGCCGAGAAATTTTGGTGAAATGTGGTCGCATTTCACCAAAATTTTTTCGGCGCCATAGGATGAATTGGAGGGTGAGAGATATTATTTCATACAATACTACTCTCACCCTCAATTTTAATTACTTAAACTCATTCTATTTTTTTGACATGTAAATGTCACTTTTACTGAGATCTGACACAATGTCAGATCTCTTTTTTTCGTATATAAGAATAATATCTTTACATCTACTCTTATTTCCAAAGAACGGTAACGGTGGTTTTGTAAAATTCATTTATATATAATAATAAAAATGTTTTTTCCTGAAAAGTGACAGAAAAGTGACAAAGCATGAAAACATATATAATTTGTGAAAAGCGACACAAAAAGTGACATTTTTAAAAGTGACATCATTAATATGATGTAAATAACAACGGTTTTGGTTTTGTCACCGGCTGGTCGGCTGGGGTTCGGTCCTCCTCTTGGGTCTTGGGCAAAATTTCTTAGGGGCTAGAAGGCGCAACGCGCCTGGAAGCCCCACATACCTGACCTCATCCTAATAATAAAATAAAGTTTTAACTTAAATAAAATAATCATAAAAATTAATTTCATTTTCAATTGAAAATGAGTAAATGATATAATGCATCAGATCTATTTATTCATACATTCTATAATTAACAATATAATTTGAGTGAATTAAAGTAGTAGAAGCATGCGGGTTGTGTGACTTTTTTTGTAATCGTAAGAATTCTCACATAATTGAATGATTTTTGAACATACTTCCGAATAGCAGATTTTAAAAATTTATGAATAATTTATAAAAAGTTTTTATTCCTACAATTAGGTCAGGTATGAGGGGCTTCCAGGGGCTGCGCCCCTTCTAGCCCTAAGAAATTTTGCCCAAGACCCAAGAGGAGGACCGAACCCCAGCCGACCAGCCGTTGACTTTTTTGTAGAGCGCTCAAAATAGTATAACTTTGTCCGGACAAGTAAGGGTCTATAGTCGCTACAGGAAAAGTTACAGGCGTTCCAAGGAAGTATACTTTGAGAAGCCTTTTCCCCCTTATAGAATGAGATAGGACGGTTATTTTACAAAACTGACAACACTTTGACCGAGTAGTTTTTTGTGCTGAACAAAAAGTGTCATATAAACATATGTCAAAAACCGCTTTTTAACTTCACTTAAAATGCCACGTAAGCTACGTAAGAATATGCGTAAGAGGAAGGGAGCATTGAAACATCCAATAGTAAAACTGACACCACAACAACAGTTGCGACAACAAATGATGAATGACCCCACTATGTTGCAACAAATGTCAAGCAACCCTATGCTTTTAAACCGAGTTATTGGTGCACAGAGTGGAGGTTTAAGAGCGGCACTTTTAGCGAAAATGGCAGGCTATGGTGGAGCTGCAGACGGAACAGCTTATAACCCTCAAAGTCAAATGAATTTGAGTTCACTCAAAAATCAAATAACAGATGTCAAAAAGTCAAACATAGACATACAGAAACAAATAAGTGAAAACGAAAAGAAACTAGAATATGACAGACACACAAAGAAACTCAATGAGTTAAACGTAGAGAAAAAGAAGAAAGAAGAACAACTGAAAGAACTAAGTACAGAGGAATATGCGAAAAAAGTGTCAGAAAAGCAGCAGAAGTAGCAAAAATGGAACAAGATGTTATAAATTTGAAAAACCATACTACTCAATATAAAGTACTGAAAGATGAAGAAATAAAACAAAAAGCCCTGAAGACATATATGGATAGCGATGAGTATAAAAAAGAAGTTGAAGCAAATGTAAAGGCAGAAAAACTTTTACAGTTGCAAAACCAAACCGTACAGTATGAAAACTTAGCACAAGAAAGTAAAAATAACGACGCAGCCATGCAAAAGGCAATGAAAAGCGCAGAATATATAAAAGCTAATAATGACTGGTTAGATGCCCAAGCCAACGCTAAAGCAGCCCAACTTATAGGGTCAATAAGGACAAAAATACAAGCGGATGAAGACAGTTCAAATGAAGCTTTAATGAATGCTGACTTTAAGAACGCCTTCGAAGCTCTTCATAGTAAGGTGAAACTAGTGAACGACTTCTCATCTGGAAAGAAACTGAAGTCTGAAGGTTTCGACAAAGAGTTAAGAGAAGTAGCAGAAAATATGACGAAAATAACAGATGCAGCAACGAGACAGGCAGTTCAAAGTGCCTATGACGCCGTTAGAGCAACTGTTGTGGAAAGTCAAGAAAAAGAGTTACAACAGACCAAAACAGACCTAGTAAATGCTTTCTTAAAAACGAAAAGTCAGGTAGGACATTATGCTGCAGATGGAACATATGTGCCAGCTGGTGGAACTTATTATATACCAGCTGGTGGAATTTATATACCACCAAACCCTCCAAGAGAAGCACCTGCACCAGGACTACCTAAAACATTTACATCGTCACATGGACACAGACACAGGCATGCACCAAAACCAACACAACAACCAACAGTTCAAAATCCAGCACCACAACAACAACCAACAGTTCAAAACCCTGCACAGCAACAACAACCAAAACCAACAGTTCAAAATCCAGCACAGCAACCAACAGTTCAAAACCCTGCACCTGCACAACAACCACAACCAAAACCAGCACAACAACCACCTCCACAACCAGCACAACAACCAGCACAACAACCAACAGTTCAAAACCCTGCACAACAACAACCACAAACAGAGCAAGGACATAAAAGAAGTAGAGAACAAGGAAACCAAGAATTCTTAAAAATGCTTAAGGAAGATTATGGTTACCCAGATACTCTTGACTTTAGTGACAGATATAAAGAAGCTATTAAAAAGTTCAAGGAAGGAAATATTGACCCGAACCTATTTAGCTTTATGGTTCAGCACCAAATGGGATATAATTTCAAACCTGGAAAATACAAGCTCGCTAAGGGATATGATTTAATAGCATATCATCCAAATGACATGGATGAATTTACTCCGAGATATTTGGTGTCAGAGCTAAATGATAATTCAACTCTCTTCATGAAACGCGTAAAAAATATAGACGGAACGAAAGAAGAAAGGTTTATGAGTCCGGATGACTTAGATAGGGAACTTGTTAAAAACGGTCTCGGAATATATGAAATGCCAGCAGATGAGGTACAAGAAACTCCACAGGAAGAAGTTCAGATACAACCAGACATGGAAGAAATAGTTCAGCAACAACAGCTAGAAGAGCCTGAAGGAAACGAACAAGTCCCTCCTTTGGAAACTAACTTCACAGAACTAGATGAAGATTTGGAACAGCCGAAAAATCTTGACCCTCAACAAGACTATGAGGTGAATATGGAATCTTTCCAAGAGTCTAAGAAAAATTCGGCTGACATGGTAGAAGAATATCGAAAAATGTTCGCCGACATACAAAAGACTCCAACATCAGATGAAAATATTCAGCATAGAATGGAAGTACTGAAAGAAAATGTACGCAAATACAATAATCTTTTTTACTTACGACCATATAACGTTCAATCTTTGGCTGAACTCGGTGAAAATAAAAGGTTAAATTTCAACAAAACATATAGAAATGAAACATTGTTTAAAGTTCATTCAGAACCTAACCAATATGGAAACAAACCTACTTTTGTTTCTGCAGACTATGGAACTACAATGAGATGGGGTCATAAAGCTAATCCGGATAGGTGGTTCATAAACTTACAACCTCAATTCCAAGAAGTTGTAGACGCAATGGAAGTGAATGGTGAACCAGATATAGCTGGTATTTTCAGCGCGGCTTTAATGCCATTGAAAGATATGAAAGATGCAGATATTTTGAACCAGTATGAAATGAACATGGCTGATGGAAATATAACACCTGACGTTCTAGAACATTTATCTCAAAGAACTACACAGAACCATAGAGATGGTATATTTGGTGAAGAGTTTAGAAAGAAAGTTAGGGAGAGAGAAGGAAGAGAACCTATTGTACATGACCTTGCAAACGAAAGTTTTGCAAAATGTCATAAAAACTTACTTTGCAGACAATGAACCGAGAAGGGATGAATATTTAAGAAAACTCAAATGGACAGTACCAAATGAAATGTTAGTATTGAAAAACATGTTCCTTGACAAAATAAAACCAACTACAGAAATAAATGACGCAAGACTGAAACATTGGGTAAAAGCTTTCCCATTCACAAAAGATATTATTGGTAACATGGAAAGAAAACCAGAATGGCTACAAAAACATATATTTGGAAACGAGCTTATTCCATATGGACAAGCTCTGTTTGAAGAGCTTGAACCGGGAAACTCAGGAAAGAGTCATGCAAACAATACGCGAAGACTCAAATACAAACTATGACAAAATCTTTCTAAGATATAGGTTACCTGAGATGGGCGACCAGAGCCCAAAGGCAAAAAGGACATGGGAAATTTACAACATACTAGGTGAACATGAGGCAAAGATGCAACAACTTGAAGCAGAGGGCAAGTTACCAAAAGCGACACCAAAGAAGAAGAGAAGAGTAGAACAAAGTGAAAGTAGTGAAGAAGTAACTTCATCTAGTGAAAGTAGTGGCAATGAAGGAAAAAGAAGAGTTAAAAACTCAGTCAGGAAGAAAGTAAAGCTTGGTACGAGTGGGTTCTATTATGACACATAAATTCAACTATTCTATATTTTACCCATATGAAATGTACGCCGCTCAGAATATAACGCCAACAGTTTTGGATGCCATGAACGGAAATGTTTCCGAATGGTATAACGAATGCGACAATGCCATTAGAAGGTCAGAAATAGTTCCTGGAACTTACGAATATACAACTGCTGTTCTTATGGAAACGTAGGTGAGTTTGGAGAAGGTTCTTCAACAACAGTAGATATTGCTTGCGACAGGTTTCATATTATTTCTATTGACAACTCATTCTTATACGTGGAACAAGACATTGAAATAAAACCTTTCTGCCAAGTTGTCTGACAAGAAAGGTTGCAATGGAATTTTCTATGTCGGATACCAATATGCTCCAGAAGTTTTCATGGGATATAAGATATATTCTAACTCGGACTTAGTTCAAACAGTAACATGGGCAAACTATGAATGGTTCGCTTTGAGAAACTCAGTACAACCACAAGCTAGAGAACAAACAGACCAGTATGCAAATATTGAGAGAAAATAAGAAGACTTGACCCTAACGTTCCAGGAGTTTATGTTAACCTTTCTGGTTCAGATGGAAATGCTGCCACTAAAGTAAAACTGAAACTTAGAGTTCCTTTGTCATCTTTCCTCATCTTCAGGTTTTTAAGATACTTGCCAAACTGGGCAGGAAAAATTTCTATCGAACTTACTCCAAGCAAAAATAACTTAGTCATTGCACCAACACAAGACCCATTCAGCATTACTGTAGCTGGAACTGGTGGAGCCAAGTTCGGTGACTTTTGCAAAGACAAAGTTGACTTAGACTTTGGTTTCTCAAACTTCAACAATGAAGTAAACTATTATTTCAATTGCTGCTGGAACTGCTTGGGACCCAGTTAAGTTCACATGCGAAAAGTTTGAATGCAAGAGAATAGAAAGCAGACTTGCCGTTTATATGTTGGACCCAGATATTTCAAATGCTTTTAGCTGCCAAATATATTGCAGTTCCACTTATGTTCCCTATACACCAAATATCTGTCAAAGACTTTGCAGGTGAAGTTGGAAACCAAAGTGCTGACCCAGGTGCAAGAACAGATATTGCTTTAACAACTGCAATGGAAACATGCAGATACTATGTTTGTACTGTTCAGACGAACTATAAATGACTATCTTGTTTTCTACAACCCTGGTATTAAATATCATATAAACATAGATGGCAAATATTATCCAAGAGAAGAATATTCTACAGTTGAGGATATGAGGTCATACAACTTGACATTAGATGCTAATGAACTTTAACAACAACTTCACAACAACTATTAACCCTGAAATGCAAAGTTTTATTATGCCATATGTGAAAGTATGGACTCATACAGAGAGGTCAAAAAACTCAATATACAAATGGAGACCGTTCAAACTTTTGGCTTGGCATTCCATTTGCTGACTCAGAAGACTTTATGGGTGGTATTTCAACTGTTGGTACAGTTCAAATACAATATACTGGTGACAGAGACGGTCCAGATGAATTGAAAGCAAAGAAGTTTACAAAACCAATAGCACTTTTCACGGAAGATGCTCTTTTGAAGATTCGTTCGATGAAACCTGCTGGGGCTCCTCAGATTGGCATAACGACAGCTTCCATCGAGCAGATTTTGGCAGCAGGTCAGTAAGTTGTTCTTGAACTGACTTCTCTCCGTCAAATATTGACAGTACGCCAGTTTTGACATAATATTGTATTATAAACTTTCCTTTAGTAATATCTGTAAGTTTTGAAGTTTATTTTTGTCTGCTTCAAGAACTTTCACCATTTCAGTTATTACCAACTTTCTTTGCTTTATGAAAATATTTAGGTTCAGCAAAGACTGCTATTCTATAACATTTACCATTGTTTGTATAAAAGAACTATTCTGTCATTGTTATTTGTATTGTTTGTGTGTTGTAAACTTTGTTTTGCTTCAATTCAAAGAGATATCCGAATACGTCCATCTTTTTATTCTAAGTAAAATGTCATTTCCGAAAAATAAAAGCGTAAGTGTTTCAAAAGGTTTAATGGCGGTGGCAGATGTGAAGTTAAATTCACCAACTCAAACAAACAGTCAAAGTGTTATTGTCAATGTCAAAGACAGAGATGTTGAAGTGGGGAAACCATACGAAGACGAAGATGGTATATAACAATTGTTCCTGTAAAAGAACAACCAACATATCCTGAAGTTAGCAGAGACTTAAGTTCTGTTGCAGATATTCGAAACGACTACCAACAACTGAAAGACAAACTTCAAACTCAGGAGAAGATTTGTCAAGCTTTAAGTATAATGTTAAACTTGGTCGAACACAACCCTGTAAAAGTGAACTCATATGTCATTGCACCTCATGAAGTTTTTGAAAGAACTATTGAAACTTTTGACAGAGGCAGACGATATAAAACATCAAAGAAATAGAACCCGACATTAGTTGCTGTTGGTGTTTCATATAATGTCATTGACAAGATATACGTTATGAAAGGAGGTGAAACGTTTGAACTTAAAAGTATAGTTTCCCAGACGTTATAAAATATTTGACGACCACAACATTTCATTAAAGTTTATTTGCTAAGTAAAAATGTTCAAAACTTCTTGAAAGATGTTTGAAGAAAAATAATATAGACTTTATTTCATGTAAAGGACTTTACACACTTTTGAACGATATGAAAGACCCTGTTTTGTTTGTTCGTGTAGACAAAGGAAAGTTCTATGTCTTTACAAAATATTTGAACTTCTTAGACAGAGAACTTCAAGAAACGCCATGTGAAGTTAGATGAAGTTCTTCTCCACTTTCAGAAAACTTTTAAATATATATAAATGGCAGAAGACATAATGGTTTATACTATTACGACTAAAAAACCCTGAGTCATATAATTCTATAACAACAAACTTACAAAGTCCTCAAGGACGATATTGTAAACTAACCTTAAACACAATGACGACTAAAGCCTGTTTTGCTCTTTTGACACCAGAAGACTTTATTGTTGTGAATGGTATGGTAAAAAATACTCCTTTGAAGATACTTACTCAGATATTACCACCAACAGGTTTTGTTGACTTATTTAATACTTTAAGTACGGGTGTAACATGTGCTGCAACTAGAGCAGGTTTCATTATGTTTGGATGTCCGACTGAGTTTACTATAAACGATATGAGCTATAATACAAAACTTATTTCTGGTTTTTACTACCAACAGTTTCCTATAACAGGAAAAGGTGTCATACAAGGAATGTCTATTCCATTGACATTAAGCACACCAATCTTATATATTGTTTCAAACTTAGGTTCAAAGTGTTTATTCGAATGTCGACAGAAACTATTATGACCAAAAGATACTTATGCGTATAAACAATACTTTCTCTGCTGGTTTGCCTATTGTTCATTCGAATGCAGAATTTTCAACCTTAGTGAACTCAAACACTTTGGCAAGTATAACGTTGACATTAGTTGACGCAAACTTTGTTCCTGTAAAACTTTTATGTCCTATGTATTTGTCAATGACGGCAGAAAGTTTCGAATTGGAAGATGCAACTGTGAAAGTATTGTATTACAGAACAACTTCAACAACAAATAGTCAAGAACAACAAAATGCAACAAATGGAACAACAAAGTCAAGATAAAAAAAAATATTATTTTTTTTTTTTTATAAAAATGTACAGAATAGATGTTTCAGATTTTTATGACTTCCAAGCATTCAGAAATATGTGTCCATTTCGAGACTATAACAAAGCAGTCGAGAATTGAAACGTTTAGTCATTTATGTCGACTCTGCCCCAGAATGTTATGTTATGAAAGAATGGGATGTAGTCTTTAACAAACCAAGAGCAACAATAGTGTCTGAACAAGAATGTAGACAGAAACTTAAGAAAATAAAAGTCGTACAAGTTGGCATGAAGATGTTAGATGCTTGGGATATCTTATTGTCAAAGTTAGAAGATTTTTCAGTTCGAGGTATAAAGTTTTATACACCTTCTCCAAACTTCTATTCTATCTTCACTGGATATAAATATGAACAAGTAGAATGGAAAGAAAATATTATAGAAGCTTGGTTAGACCATGTCAAAGAAATTATATGCAATGGAAACGAAAAGGTTTATGAGTATATCTTATGTTTGGTTTGCAAAACATCTTACAACATCCAAGTGCTAAAAATGAAACTGCTCTCATTTATAATTGGAAAACAAGGAACAGGTAAGAACACATTCTTTACAGATATTTTGTGCAACCTGTTAGAAGGTTATTCGAACCTAATTATGACAAACTTAGAAAACATCTGCGGTAAATTTAAACTCTTCAATTGAGAATATGAAACTTATAGTTTGCAATGAACTTCAAAGTATAGATACAACAAAAGTTTTGAACTCAGATGCTTTGAAGAGTCTTATAACAGATAAAGTTGGAGTTGTTGAAAGAAGTATAAAGACCAAAGAGTTTGTTGAAAATGTTGCAAACTTCATTATGGTTTTCAAACAATGCTGTTCCGATGAAGTTAGAAAGTTCTGACAGAAGATATGTAGTTGTCAGAACGTCAGATTCTCTATGCAAGATACTGAATATTTTGACGACTTAGCAGAAACTTTGACATCTGACTTTTACAACCACTTGTTCTCATATTTCATGACATTAGATATTTCTAACTTCAAATCCAAGACAAATTCCACATACCGAAGAGAGACAAACATTGTTAGAAGCAAACAAGAGTTTTATGAACTATTCGTAGATGAAACTGACTTTGTGTCATTAGATGAAAGGTCATTGTACGATTCGTATAAACAATATTGTCAAGAATATGTTATATGACAGCTTCTAAACGACGAAACATTCTTGGCCAAATGCTCAATAGTCTTTTAGATGTTCAGAATGTGTATATTATACAAAGAAAAATTTTTCTGAGTAATTTTTAAAAAAATATTTTTTATCCGATAGAAAGATGACAAAATTCATCTTCAGTAAATAATTACATGTCAGGACTTAAAGAAGACTAGACCCACTTCACATATTTGAATGTTTACTTCTAACCATTTTTGAAATAGTCTTCATTCAGAAAGTTGTGGAACATTCGAACAGTTATATTTAGCTATTGTGACTAAAAAATGCGTGATCTCT